CTGAATTATATGTAATTTCTTAATATTCAATAAGCTGGTGATGTTTCAATGACAAGTTGTCATCTCATACTTTGACAGTATTTTGTTTTCAACATTTCATAGCTATTGGTTGCTAAAATTTGTTGATTGCAACTTCAAGCTCATTCGCTGTATCTGACGGTCAGTTACCCTATTGGTTGAGAATAACGGACTGTTGTTGGTGAAATTGGCCCTAAGTGCTACATAAGCTTGTCGCGAGCCTAGATAAATGACTGCATGGTACATGGTACTGTACAACCTTGCATCTTGAGGACGATCGAATCCCAAATCAGGATTAACTTCAACTTTTGCAATGAACAAGGTGAGAATACACTACCTTGAAAAAGTATCTGCTCCGTTGTGGTGCGCCGATTGCCTGAATCAACAAAATCCGAAACCGCAAGCATGCGCAGATCGCGCGCTAGCTCTACCTCTCTTACCCGCCAGCAGAGGATCTATAAAAAGATTTAACAATCCTGGCGGTCCTAATAAGAATAATGGAAAACTGTTTTCAAATTGCTTGCATTGTCATCGGTCCTTGATACGTTTGCGAGGTTTCAGGTTAATAAAACTTCTGGAAATTGATGAAAATTATGCGCAAAGATTCCGTTACATACATACAGATGGGCAAATTCAGCTTGAGCCGCGAGATGCGCAGAAAACAGAGTGAGATGGTGGAGGTCTGAGAGAAATGGATATAGGAGTCCAGTTGACGCGGCAAGTTCAGTTACAGCGTACCAATTTCTGTTATTTTATTTAATTTGGCCAGTTATTTTACGATTACAATTCGCCCTTCGCAGACAACCCATTGACTATAGGTACTATTCGTCATTATTCGTCAGAGCGGTCCGGTGGACCTTTGCTCTTAGTTAAAAGTCTCGTCGGTCTGTTAGTCTGTCAGGTCTGGCTACCCAGATACCAAACATGTTTAAGGGACAACCCATTGACTTCGCTTACCAGCTACACTGACAGAAATTTATAAAAGACATCCGAATTTGGCATTTCACTAGAACTTTACGGAAAAAAATGTTGGGATGCAATTCTTTCATTAAGGGATTGATTGATTAGTTAATTGCTTGATGGTCGCATATACCTATATTGAATCTAGTTGAATAGGGGGGACAACCCTTCATAAAACACCTGTAGCTGTAGAGACCCATTCTTGTATCTATAATTTACAATAGTTTTGAATAAAAAAGACCCATTTTGTACACAGGCTGCAGAGACCCGTTCTTGTATCTTTAATTTACAATAGTTTTGAATAAAAAAGACCCATTTTGTACACAGGCTTTGATATGCTATTCAACCAAGATGTTAGGTGTCACTGCTGCTCAAATGAGCAAGTAATTCGTGAACAATTCCCAGTCATTTATATATATACATATATAGGTGAAAAATTAAAGCTTCCGCCTTTTGTTGGGTACTTCGACAAAATTTAAGCAAAGAGGACTCTTTATACTTTTTTTTAATTCTCTCTAGCTTTCAATGGACTTTGCCATCATCATCAGGAGCTGCAATTACAATGATAACAGTAGCAACAAAAGTGTAAAATGAATTTAAATTGACTCAACTTACAGTAGTTTGTGAGGATGTTGCTAATTGTTGTTTACGTATAGGATGAGGGAAACGTCCAGTAACATGGTGAGAGCTGGATAGATTGTACAATGGTCAAAAATATATAAAATATGACAAGAACAAGTTAAAAACAGATTAAAAATTATTTAAAAAACATTAGAGCATTACATCGTGAAGCCACTTGATGATTGCACAAATTAGTGGTCATGGAATAATGAGTGAGATGAAACCCTTTGACAGAAGGCCGAAGGATGTCAATGTCTGTGTTGAAACATGGAACGAATTGTGGGCGTGTGCCAAACGTTGCCAAATCACTTCAGATGATGTGATTTTCAGAATTTTATGTAAGAATTTGTTAAACCGACCAGAAAAACTGGTCTAGACGACAATGACCACGTCTCAAGTTATATATATATATATATATATATATATATATATATATTATACTCATCATGAAGGCTAAAGATAATTTGAAATCTTTCTGTGATGAATTGTAATGGTTAAAACTATATGCAAAATTTCGTGAACAAACATAGACATTTCAGACAACGTCTTCTCAAAGTAATTTATTTTTCATTGTTGCTTAAATCTTCGAATCTGCATAATAATAATAATAATAATATGAATAATAATAATCATAATCATAGTAATAATGTCAATAGTCATTGTAATTTATTATACTGGTAATTATATTTACTCTGTGTAAAGGAACAGCCACTCCATTTTCAGCCTCATTCTGCATGAATCTCAATACCGAGGCAACAATTTCTCGGCTTTGACCACTTAAAACTTTATTTACAACTTTACTCTCCATTTTTCAGAACCTTCGAGTATAAATTAAAACAACCTATAGCTAACGGAATGAAATTTTTTACTGGAGTTGTACCCACGATGCTGCCGTGATCGCTGCTGTTTTGTACTGGGATGTCCCCACTACATTCCGCCGTGTCTACCGCGCATCTGACCTTGGGAGACCAGGCTAGATTTGTCAAACTGTACATATATATATATATATACATACAGGCCACGCTAATAAAAGCGTGTAAATAATAATCCAGGGCAACGTCCTGATATTATTTGCTTGAGGAAAAAGTACTAAAAATAGTTGATATTTTGATGATAGTACAGCCCTAATCACAGGGCCATCCTTCTCAGCTGTTCAGGTTAAACTTCGTCGCGTTGGTGTTTGCCCGAGGGCGAGCAGAGGCTAGTGCATTTTGTATAAAATATCATTATGTCTTAAGTGCAAATATACGTTGTAATATTTCTGTGAAATATCCCTATAATGTGCGTAGAATTACTGAGGTTACAAGTTTATAAATTAAATTATAATTATACATTGTAATGAAACTCCGTATACATTGTTTTTCAACGATACTTGTCATGCAGACGTTCAACAGCGGTACGTAATCGGCAAGTTGATTGTTTCTCTCAATTGACCAAAAATCTAGATAATATCAACAATGTTTTGCAACATTTGCGGGCATTTTTAATTCCATTTCCATCATTTACAACCCAAATCTACAGCCTATTCTGACGGAGAAACAAATAAGGCTGGTGTAGCTAAGCCAGACAATTACCTACATTGAATAGGAATCCAATAATTTGGCAGCAGGTTTGGCAGTCTGATAGCGCTACACGAAAATATACCGGGCATATCAAAAAGTGTACCCGGGCTAAAAAAATATAAACCACAATATATATTGAAAATGCTGTATTTATTCCTACGTACATAAAAGTGATCAAAGCTTGCAACCTCTAAGTAGAATCCAGACTTCTGGAAATTTGGTACACAAATCTTTTGTACTAATGAAACTCAGAGGACGAGCAAAGTCATGTAAAAATCACAATTTCGGAAAATTAATTATTAACCAATCATTAACGGTGACAGGCATCGATTTTCTGTGGCTCTGTGGCTTGCAGTAGCACTAAGGCTGACATGCCTTCATTTCGTACATCTTCTAAATCTAAACGATTGGCTTATTGCGAAAGAGCTTTGTTAGCTGTCGATGATGTGTAGAGATTATTTTTCATCCTGTACCCATTTTCGCAAGCGCTCGAGGAGTAGTTGTAGTGTAGTGGTTGGGAGACGAAGCCTGGCAACTAGGCTACCTTTGTTTTTTTTTGCCGACCTCGTAGTACCCCCAAGAGATCATAGTTCTCGAGGTATTGTAGGAAATCTGAATTTATATAACATTCTTTTTTCAACAGAAACGGTAGCAATTTTGTTCTTCCAGAAGATATACTTTAACCCCGCTCAAAATCGTTGAGGAACATCCTAGGGAAGTGATACCAGCACGTCGCCAAAATATATCATGGCATGGGACTCATATCTAGGTATCTAGATTTATTGATCTTTGATTATGGAAAACAGTGGCCTATCGCTCATCAAGCAGTGCTACTCAAAATATTTTGAATGTCCCCTTTGATGCGCTTCTGCAATATTTTACTAATTGCTGATACAGTTGTGCTCCCAGGATTTCAGTCTGGGGAGGGTAACGAAGTGACGTGAGTTTCCTAGGATACTCTCGCCAAATTTTAATAAACTTAGCAATATTTCACACAAACGGCCTTATACTTGTAGTTGCTCTGAATGTGTTTTTTTTATAAATAACATCTTAATTCTTTACTGTTTCTCAAATTTGTCGAATCGGTGAATTAAAAAGAATTATGAGGAATCATTGACCACCTCGATATCTTATAATGCTGAGTGACAAAAAAAAGGTAAACACCTACGTATGTTTATCCGATTTTAATAATTTTTCAGTGTCCCTTACTAGTAAAATGATTAAATTTTCAGCTTGATTCGTCAACTGACTGCAGAAGCTGGTTCAATAGTGTGTTGAGGATCCACGATTTCTTATACACTCACTCAGGCCTGGGCATCGTGCTGATAAGGTGGACGATATTCTCTTGGGGTATCTCATTCCAGGATAATGCAACTTTGTGAGTAAGAGCTGCTAAAGTCCGTTGCAAATTTAAGAGCCTGCGACCTATCAGGTCCCACACATATTCAATTGGAGATAGGTCAGGCGATCGTGGTGGCCAAGGTAAACGGTTGATGCGAAGCGATCTTGATGCATGAAGGCTAACGATGCTCTGGCAACATGTGGTCTGGCATTCTCTTGCTGAAAAATCGGATTTTGGATGGTATGGAATAAGATGAGGTTCCACTACTTCCTGAATATAGCGTCGGGATGTCATATTGCCTACAGACGTTAGTACAAAACTATCAGTGTTTTGGCAAGTGACTTGCAAAGTGAGCGATGTTGTGCGAGGAGGAATATTTGGGTACAGCAGCAGTGGCGTGCGCCTAGAACTAAAGAAACTAGAAAAGAAACAGCGTCGATATTGGTCTAAAAATTGGCTTTCAAAACGACAAACCTGATCCCACATTAATCTTCTAGAAGAATTGAAATTTGAACCTGACGACTGGCTCAATTACCTTAGGATGGACGAAAAAACTTATGTGGAACTTTTGAACATCGTTACTCCATTGATAAAACGCCAAGATACAATAATGAGAACCGCAATATCTCCACACGAACGACTAAATGCAACGCTAAGGTATTTAGCAACTGGAAGAAATCACTAAGACCTAAAATCTACCACAGTAATATCTGCACCAGCATTGAGTGAAATAATTCCCGAAACATGTCAAGCAATCTACCAAGTTTTGCATAAAAAATACATGAAGGTAAAGTTATATTTTTATTTAGGAAGCAATTTTTTTTACAAATTAACGTGATATAATTCTGTAACCAAAGTAAAGGTGACTTAAAATATTATTCATTATTTTATAAAAAACATAATTAAGAAAAGTCTGTAGGATTTAAGGAGGAGTAATAATTTGCAGTGCACAAATTTTCTGTTCTGGTATTAGGTGCTGATGCGGAGTTAAGTACAATCTGATAATCATCAGAAACTAATCTTGAGCAAATATTAGGTGCTGACTGTTCCCACACTCGACTTGACTGGAATGTTCTGTTTGTCGATGTCGCATTTATAAGTTTTTCTGGTTATGAAATTATTCTCGTATGTTCAGTAAACTGCCCTAATTCTGCTTAGAACAATAGGTCATTAATTAATTTTTCCGTGTAAATTCTTGTTGAAATGGGCAATCTTCGCAGTTTTACAGCAACGTTCTTTCCTATCAGGGAAAACTCATCCTCGGTGTTAGCGAGTCTTGCATGGACAACATTTAATATTTCATCTGCTTTGTTTGCTTGATCCTGTGATTTTTTTGACTTAAGCTTAGCTCTTTTATTTAATGAAGGAGTAATCGAATGGCTTTGCAATGATGAAGATTGGGTGTTGTCAATAGGAACTGCAGGAGTCGTAGGTGAATAGACACTATTTCCAGATTCGTTCTCAATACTGTCAATATTAGGATTTCTAGGATTATCTTCTTTGTTAAACAAAAAAAAAAACATTAGTGTTTAGTTTAATTAATGCTGTGTAAATTTCAACCGATTACAGCCATTTTTTTAAATGTCAACTAATGAAATGTCTACGACGGTTAAATGGTTAATTTTATGTAAGCTATTTTTTTATTAAAAAAGTTTCAAATACCTGTGTCCAAAATCTCATAAAAACATATTATAAGAGTTACGATAACTTAAAATTCGAAGATTCACTACCAGATAAACAAAATAGCACAAACATTTACTAAAAGTACCGGAGTTATATTAAACTTTACACGCAGTTAACAAATATATTTTTTAAATGGTGGCAATTGGTTAATGACTCGACATTTTACTGGGTTGATTTTTGTATATCCTTATTTTCAGTTTTCCACAACAGAAGCAGCATGGAGAAGTATTGCTCGAGTCTTTGAAGCCCCACATTCTAAATTGTATAGGGGCGGTGGATGGCAAAAATGTAAATATAATACCGCCACAGAATAGCGGAGCATATTATTATAACTACAAAGGATACAACAGTTTAGTACTGATGGCCATATGTGACGCAAATTGTGGATTCATAATGTGTGATTTTGGTGTGAATGGACGAATATCAGATGGAGGAATTATTGCATATACTCAGTTTTACAAAAAACTTAAAAGAGAACTGCCATTCGTGTTCATTGGCTTTCGCATTACGTACAGATTTTTTAAAACCTTTTAGTCAGAGAGATCTGGGTCATGACAGAAAAAATTTCAATTACCGATTATCTCGAGGAAGAAGCAAAATAGAGAATTCGTTTGGAATATTGGCTGCAAGATTTCAAGTTTTCCAAACTCCTATTCGGTTACACTTAAAATCAATAGACAAAGTGGTAACGGCTTGCTGCGTTCTTCATAATTTTTTAAGACGTAAATGTGGCAAGTCATATCCACCCTCAGAGTGTTTTGACCAAGAAAATATAATGGACGGTACTGTACAAGTAGGACTTAGACCCAATTCAAATATTTTCGCTGGTCTGCACGGTGGCTATTGTAGAAACTTTACCAGAGAAGCAAATCAAGTGCGATAATTATTTACTCAGTACTTTAATCAAGAAGGAGCTGTCTTTTGTCAAGAACGAATGATACATTAGTATTTGGCCTAATTTAAAATTGTCAAATTTATAAAAATAAATCGATAAATATGAATTTTTTTAACTTCCTCTTCCTCAGTCTCAGCAAAGCCTTCAGTTTCCTCGTTATATGTTTCAAAAAGCTCTGAGTCGTGCATATCATTATCACCAGGCACGTTCGAAGTGGACTGTCTTGGTATGTCCTGGTCTCGAAGAAACAGAAGTAAATCGTAGAACCATAACGAAGGTACGTATATATCATCTGAACCAGAACAACGTCTTTTTGAATTCACAACTTTTTTATTTTCCCTTCGAAAACTACCACGAAGACTATTAATTTTAGCTACCACAGTATTTTTTGTTGCATCGGGTTGAATAGTTTGCAGTTTTTTCACCAATATCTTATAGGCTTCGTTCTTTTTAATACTATCCATATATTCTTTTGATTTTGTCTGCCCCAGGCAAGGTAGTTCTTTGTAGATTCCAATAAATCCCTGCACAAATGCACGGGACATTGTTCTGCAGTCAGACATCGTAATTTAATCGAATCTTAAACTAGACTTCCTTGATACAACAATTTTACTACGCTACAGATAAAAAAACGCACATACATGAGTTTTTTGCCTCCACACGAAGCATCAACCTGAACGCGCACACAAAATTTCTAGCGATTACAGAATTCATCAGCGCGTCATTCCCCTGTGTGCACGTTCAAACACGCAAAGAAATTTTGCATACACATTGACGTTTTTGGTTGCGCGTTCGTGCATGTACGTACAGGTCTTCATACATCCACGTCCGTGTATAGGGGCCTTAACTCTCACGGTGTGGTGAACGTGACGCTCTCCGTCAAATTGTGTGTCTTTCACCACGCCGCCTTCTCACTCTTGCTCGACCATCGAGCATCCCCAGACAGAAGCGGGATTCGTCACTAAAGACCACCTGATTCCATTCCCGATACCTTAGAATTCTTTCTCTACACCAGATCAAACGGTGTAGAGAAGGTAGCACTCAATATGGGCGATAAGGAAAAAGGCCGAACTGTCGTATTTGGCGATTACCGTACGCATACCAACCATACTTCCATGCTCTTCAAACCACTGATTAGCGATGGCTCGAGTGCTACTGAATCTGTCTCTCAGAGCCAGAAGTCTTAAACGGCGGTATAAAATCAGCAAAATTGCCAATGGAAGGCAGAGGTTGACGTTTAGACTTGTCAAAATGGACTAATATTGCACCCGGTTGTTCATGCCTCGGTCCACCAGGATGTTATCATAAGTTCCCGTTTTAAGATTTTTACTCATGTATTTTCTAAGCTAACTAATTGAGAAACATGTCCAAACACAGTTTGGTTTTTTCTTTTCATGACTAAAAAGATTACTATGCCCAAAAATTATCACGTAGCCAAAAGACGACTCCCGAAGTAGCGGAATGTTTTGCCGATTTTTTTATTTATTTTGCTCATAACTCCGCCACCATATATTTCCAAGGATATAGCATTATCGCTTATAACCTCCTCAAGACAGCCGCAGTGACCTGGTATTTAGACTTTTGCCTGCGCGGCTACTTCGGTACAAAGGAATCTTTAGAAGAGGCGAACGAGAACATCTGTCCCTCATGCAGGCTTTTAAATACAACGGGAATCATGTCAGAAGCAGAAACTTTGTTGATAACGGATCCTTCTAGCTTTCTGCTGGTGGTGGTCTTAGTCCCAAAGTAGGTATTCGCCGGGAGCGAACTGCATAGCTGGTGCAAGGCCTGTAGTCGAAACTACATCGAGTGCTGATTTGTATGTTTAAGCTCCATGATTGTCGGTTACTCAAACTCAAATAAATTGGTGGACAGTTGCTTCGCAAGATGGAAAATTTTACCCAAATTCAAATCTCGATATTTTCGGAACGGAAATAGTTATCGAGTTGCGGTATTCGGGAAGTTTTTTAAAACTCTTTGAGGATGCGTATAGAGTTTGACCGGTATATTTATTTTATTTATCCACTTATACAGGGTGCGCAGAAGAAGTCATGTTTTTTTAGCAAAGTTTGGGGCTTTGTCAGATTCTCAAGTTTTGATCTTTTCTATGGATTTTTTTGATTTTTGGACTATTCTAAAAAAAGTAATTTCTCAACTTTTTCGAATGTTGACTATAATTCAAATTATCGAATTTTAAAAACGTGTTACATTTATCCCTAAGAAAGAGACTTGGGGCTTCTCTTGAGAATGGTCACTTTTTTTCCCAAGCCAAGCATAAAATAGTTATTGCCTCCAATGGCGAGCAGTAAAAGTTTGTTACTTTGACTTTATGTAATTTAAACCGAATGTATAATTTCCACTGTGCAATTAAATAGCTTAGTGAGCAAATCCAAGATACTACTCATAATATAGGGGTGTCTTCCACAGGCGTAACACCAAGAGCATTTTTTGGTTTGGTAATAAGTGCTAATAACTTTTTAATTGCTATTACAATTTTAATTTTTCAAAATGCTATTGTGCTGACCAACACAGCTATTCATCTTTCAGCTGAATTTTTTTATGTTTCTCATTCAGCATTGGCATACGCGTCTTCATTGGAGATATTTCCCAATAGGTAATAGACTCTATTAAGTTTTTAAACAACTTAAAAAATAATTTACTGATTAACATTAACAATTTATGAAACATTTTAGAAAACAAAAATTTGAAGTCCAGTTAAATACCTAAATTATTCATTTATGACAAAAACTAACTTTTTACAAATCAGCAATACCTAATTTAAACAATACTGTTAGTACCTTATAGGGCCACATCCTGGCATCTTCATGGCATACTTTCCAGAAGGTTTTTAATAAATTCATTCTCGGGATACGTTTCCCCAACCATCCTGGATGGCCTCAGACAGCTCTGCCATTGTTTGAGGGGCATTTTGTCTTGTCGCACTTTAAATTTTAGCCGCGACGTCACATGCTCCATTATGTTTAGGCCTGGAGACTTTAATGGCAGAGGCAATAATGTAACATTATTTTCTGCCAAAAAGCTTATAACCGTACGAGCTCTATGAGGCCTGGTGTTATCATCGACGAAGACAAAATCATCCCCAAAATCTTGTGCAGACGGTTCAACACTATTGTTTAAAATATTGTCCCTATAAACGACAGCATTGACTGTCCTGTTTGGAATAAAAAGTTCAGTTTTACTATTGTGCCCTCAGCCTAAACACTAATGCCACCTCTACCAGACGCTTCTTGTGGAGCCATGTTTTCTTCATCATATCGTTCCCCAGCTTGCCTCCAAACAAGAACCTTACTATCAGAGTGGTATAGGTTGTAGCGTGTTTCAGCGGAAAACATGCAATTTTGCCACTGCTGATTCCAATTTATCCGCTCTTGTGTCCATTAGTACCTGGCGATTCTATGATTGTGCAAGAGTCGGGTACACTTGGCGCAACGCCTTGCTCTGGAAGAAATACTACTCTAAAAAAGCACCTAGCAATATATTTATAACAGTGACATACCTTAAAATATTAGAATTTAAAGCTCTTCTTACAGTACGATTGAATGTCATTATTCCACTACGCCACCGCAAGTTTTTATTGATGGTTCTGGATGAAAGGGACCTCCTTTGCCTTACTTCCCGCAATAAATGTCTTTCGGCCCGATCCTGACCTGATATCTTCTCCTTGAACGGTATATCGAGGATAGATCAACATTATAAATATTGCAGCTACATCGTTCAATAAACGACCTTCTCCCAATAACCTTGTAGAATTCTCTCGTTCTTTTTGAAAAAGACGAGGCATTTTTGAGAAAATAGAATTATATTGTTAAGTCTATAGTCAATATTATTGTTATTTAGCATGTTTGAGGTGTAGGTAGTTGTGAAGAAACCGGAGAAACGTCGTATTTGCATGGACGGGATAATCCAAAGGTATACGATTTCGAGCCAAAAGACACTTATTGTGAGAAGTAAAAAATTAGATAATTTGAGTTATAGCTAACTTTCGAAAAACTTCAGATATCATTTCTTTTAGGATAGTCCAAAGATCAAAAAGATGCATAAAAAAAATTTCGAACATCAAAAATTGAGAATCTAACATAGCCCCAAACTTTGCTAAAAGACATGACTTCCTTTGCTCACCCCTGCATAAGCAGATAAGTAAACGAAATATACCACACCCTGTACGTGTTCTCAAAGAGTTGGGTAAAACCTTCAAGAATACCGCAACTCTATATCTCTTTCGTTCCGAAAATATCGAGATTAGAATTTGGGTAAAATTTTCCATGTTGCAAAGCAAGTGTCCACCAGTTTAGTTCCAAACCTGAAATCGACTTAGTGTATATTATTTTCATTATTATCTGTTTATTTTTGTACTGCCTGTGCCAATCACAAATACACTATCCGACAGACGCTAAGTGGCGCTGTTATCGCGCGCCCAGAGAATACAGGTTTTTGGCGAATTGCACGTGTGACATGGCGATCAGCATTTTCTGTTGTCCGTACTATCAGTGCTTACTGCCGATTTCCTCAGTGTTATGGGTTTCGACGTAACCTTATATATCAATAAACACTGACATCAATAGCCCCACGAAGACTAGAGATAGGTTAAGCTGCTTTAGGGAAGACACGTATTCGTATG